CTGCTTCTAACTCATAAATCTTGAGGTCAAAATGCTGTTGTTGCTGCCTTTAGGTCCAACAAAGCTCCATAGTTCTTTGTAGTGAACCATAGGTTTATTACAAAGTACAATTACAGTTTGGAAATCACTTGTTGGTTCAAATAAAATAAAATAATTTTATTGACTGAGTATTTACAGTGACAAATACCTACCTATACATGCAGTCAAAGGAGCTTGCAAAGAAAAGCGTCTGGACTTCTTTAAGTTGCTTGAAGACGTTTCACCTCTCATCCGAGAAGCTTCTTCAGTTCTAAGGTCAAATGGTGGGGAGTCCCAGATTTAAACCTAGTGGGAGTTTCCCCCCACAGAGGGACAAAAGGACCCCCTGATGATCCTCTAATCGCCTGAGCCAAGGTGTGAAACTGGGTGTGGGTCCCAATCAGCCAGAGTTTCGGGTGAGCTCATTGTGAAACCTGGCCCCACCTTATCATGCAAATTCCTGAGGTCAGATGGCCCAGGATGTGAGTGGGCGTTAAGGCGTCTGGGGAGGGAACTCAAAACTGGATTATAGATGGCACACAGTTGGTGTCATAAACCACCGCCTCTGTTCTTAGATGGTCGCTCACAGTGGACATAGATGGCTTCTTTCACTCTTTCAAACCATCTGTCCTCTCTGTCCAAAATGTGAACATTGGCATCATCTAAAGAGACATATACATATACATACAGTTTACACTACTGTATCTTAATGGAATTGCTACATTCTCTTTAATGGCTTTAGGGTTTAGCATATTTTGGAGATCGACCATGTTGTGTTCCGTCAGCTGAGAATTTGTATCATTAATAGAATATTATCACAATAAGAATAGTGTTAATGTGTAATCCAATCTTACTTTTTTATTTTTAAAGCTCTTTGAGTGCCCAGGTAGTGAATCTGTCCATTTACCATTTCAACCAACTCTGTGAAATCTGTGGTCAGTACCATGTTATACAGACAATGGTATACAGTTTTTTCATTGTCGTCCATTCTCTTGCTTGTGTACTCTAGTAGGTATAGATTTTAGCCGACTTAATGATGGCATGGGTTTATTTAGAGTTGACAAGCCAGAAAATCTATTTCTCTTTGACATACATTTTCAAGTAAATTATATTATGTGTGCTGAGTATCTCAGCATGACTTCTGGGACTGTATGTTAATTAAAGTGTTTAGAAAAAAATGAGAAGTGAAAAATGCTCTGGTGAAATTAGAATTTAAGTTGCAGTTAACTCAGACCTTGTTTATTGCCTTTGATCATTGATATTTTAGACAAAATTGGATGGTAGCATCTCACTATCAGCATGTGGTTCTAAAGTGGATTACCAAGCAGTGGCATTAGTCTCCATAGGAACTAAAATGCAATGACGCAAGGAAATTTTGACTGAAACATCCATCCTTTTTCTTAACCCTTCTATCTAATTTAGGATCACAGAGATGGGAATTAGGGAACCTGCAGCCTATTCTAGCTTATATACTAGTACAAAAGGCACAGTACAATTAATCAATATGCTGGACACGTTGCCAATCCGTCACAGAACTAATACAAAGAGCTACACAAACACACTCTTACATTCACACCGACACCAACTTAGAAATGCCAATAAACCTAGCTCACTGACAATTGCTTGCATAAAGGTGCTAACCAAGCCCAGCACTGTGCCGCCCTGACTAGAGACGGCACAGTTTCCTCTGCCCAGCTGTGCATACGAGGCATGCAGCTCTAAAAGCTCACTATAACTGTAAATTGGGCTATACCACACCTATGATGTAGGTAACATACAACTCTGAATGCTTTTTTTGGAGACACATAGTATCATATCTGCCGGTCACAGATAAGGTACTATGTGTCTTCACATAGTACCATAACATGCTTTTAAGTATGCAAAAAAAAAAAACAACCCAAAAATTGTTAAATATAAAATCCCAAATCCAAATGATCTGGAACAGTATTCCAACACCTTCAGTAAATGACTAATTATATCTACAATACAAAATACATAGGCATTGCTATATTCCTGTTCTACATGTCAAAGAACTTGTGGTCATGGCAGCGTTGGGATTATTACTCCAAAAAACTACTGTATTGCACATAACTCAGTATTTTTCTTGAAATTAATGCAGTACATAATTACTTGCTGGACAAATGAGTTCATTATACTAGTTGCTACATTACCTTTTGCATTCCTCTGTAAAAGGATATAACACAGTGTTATATCCTATTTTTTCTATAGACCTATACAACGCTATAGTTCTACATTCTTAGAAAGGATGTGTTAAAATTGACACATCATGTGTTAACTTTTAACACATGTGCTGCATCAGCTCAGGGACAACACATGATGTGTCAGTTTTAACACAATTAATGTGTCTGCTCCTTTAACACATCTTCTGTGTTTAAAAAAAAGTCAACACAAGGATGCGTTATTTTGACGCAAAGATGTGTTAAAATGTGTGCATTTCATTTTTTTTTAAAAAAGGAGAAAAAAGATGGTATATATTATACATTTATTGAATTCCATTTGTTACTTAGCATATTATAAATTATTACAAACTGAATAAACAAGTTTTCAAAATCTTTTCAATTAAAATGTATTAAATTAAATTTTAGCCAAAGCTATATTACAATTTTTACTTGACTAAATCAAACAAAATTAATATCTGACTAACTTTCTAACTTTCTAGATCATTAAAATGTCAAATATATATGTTCTCATATAATCCTGTCCAGACAATACATGAATTAACTTTTTTTAAAGGTAACAGTTGTCATCTTCAACAAATTGTCAACATTCAACAAATGTGCAGTTGCATGCAAACAGAAAAATATATTTACATTTTGGCAAATATAGCATCCAGGTTATACAATTTTGTAGCTTGGGTTTAAATACAGCTTATTAGCATCAAAGCTTGTCACTATATATAAAGGCCGAAAATCAAAAATTTCAGCCAATGTAATCAGTTCATATTCGTCTGACCTTCCCACTGCATAGGCATAAAAATGGTCATCGAAGAAGCTGACTTTCAGAATCCTCACAAACACAAAGACAGACTCATTAACTGACTGTGGCAAGATATGAATGACTTCACCAAACAAAGGCTCTTCTCTAAAGTCTCTTCTTAATGTCAATACAGAACCAGTTCTATAAGTCTGGCCGTACACATCAATACTGTGTGACACAAAAACAGTACTAGTCAGAGAAAGGTCTTGTTCAAGGGTTAACCTCAAGTTGTCTAACAAGACATCTGCTTTTTTCAGTGACCCCACACTAACTAGATAGGCATTGGGCACATCCATTTTCTTAGCTAGATTATCACTATGCTTATAGTGATACATGTGTTGGACCCGATGTTTAAAAGCCAATGTTTTTGACACATTTTTGAAGTTACAAACTGAATGTGCTAGTCTTTTAAATGGATTGTGCTTGGCTTCAAATCGCATACACCAAAGTTTAGACAGAGGTCCAAACAAAACCATCATGCTTGGATAATGTATCATAAAATGATGTTTCGGAATAAGATTTGTGGCATACAGCTGTTTGAAAAGAGTATGGTGCTCTATTATCAGTTCTTTTAGGAATACTGCAAGTCCCCTTGTAACGACTGGTGCAAAGATGATACTGCATATCTCTCTCAGTAAAATCAATAAATGCCAATGTTGACTTTTTCGGTCTACACAATCTCCCAACAAAAAGGGCAAGACCAGTAAAAGGCACCACATTTGAGATGCTGTCTGTTTTAATGCACTCTCACTGTTTCTCAAGTTCATTATAACACTTGGCTTGTTTTTAATGTCTCCATATCCATATTGAAAACTGGAAATCCTCTCATTTAGCTGTTCCAAAGTCAACAACTTCTCCTCATAAATGAAATGGCGAAGCATTAACTTAACCTCTAAAGGGGCTACACCTTCAAGTACATCATGCATGATATCAACACTTATGTTTTGTGTTACATGAAAATACTTAAGGTTATTCAGACAGGAGTCCTCTTTCACACCAGTTTTGCTTGGTTTGTTTAAGCTGACATGTTCCTGATAACTGTCTTTGGTACGCAACTCAACTTTGTCTTCATCATATATCAACTGTGCATCTGCTTTGTCAATCATGCAAAACTGACAGAATTTGTTTGCAGAGAAACTTTCAAGGTAGCCACAAAGTGAATGAATTGCCAAATTATCTGCTGTTAACACACAAACTGTACCATATAGTTGATGGCTATGACCTTTTAAATCCACAATTGGCCCAGAATTTTCAAGAAATCTCAAGTCATCAAGAAGTGGTTTCAAAATCTTGTCAAATCCATAGACCTCCCTGTCAATTGAGTTAAACAAAAGACACAGGTGAATATTTGCAAGTGAGGAATTCCACTCTGGTGGCAAATTCTTCAAGGTAAAATACACAGCTCCTAGCTTATGTATTTTTGTCTTGGAACCTAAAGGATTTGTTGTTTCAAAGTCATCAAAGTAAAGTTGTATTTGAAGAGCATCAGGGTACATTTTAAACAATGGGTGTGAGGAAAAGTGAGAGCCATCACAGTAATCACGCATTTTGGCATCAGTGTTCTTCTTATTCTGAACAAAGAAGTCCTGAATGTCCTCATGTTGGAATAAAAACTTGAGCGTTTCAATGACTGATACATACTGGCATGTATCTGCTGCCAAAACCTGTTTCATCTGACCATCTTTTCTTACAGTATCTGACCTGTGACCCAGAAATATTTCCTGTGGTTTAACAAGGGAAGACTTCTCAGTGAAGTATTTGTTCATTTTATATTTCGTGTCTACATCTTCAAATATGTTTTTAGCACTTTCAAACTCCTTCATTAATGCTTGAACAGCCTCACTGTCTTGTGGTACATCCAAGCTACTCAACAAAGCAGCAGTTGACTGTTGCAAACAGTCTACAGTTTTCTCAAGCAACTCCTTTGTACAGTTTAACAGATGTTACAAGAAGTGTAAAGTAATATTTGATGATGCATGCATCACTGGGTATCTCCAAAACATCAGGAACTAGATCATCAGTTTCAACTGAACTGTTTGATGTCTCTCCTTGGTAAGAAGGTTGAACTGAGTCAGCATACATTGAAGATGAAGTAGAATGAGATCTATGCAGGTGCTTTGAAAATGAATTTAAGTTATAATACGTCCTTGGGCAGCCATCTTGGCTACATATAATTTTTAAGTTTTGTCCATCTGATAAGCAGTGTATTTGACGAAGATGCCAAATGAGGTTTCTCACCTCTGTGAACAGAGACTCTCTACATTTTGGACAGGTGAACATTTTACTTGCATGCTTTAATCTGTGCAATCAGCTCCAGTACTTTGGTTTTCCTTTGGGTGGACAGCGGCAGGTCATAGACAAACTCAAAGAAGGTGAAGACGGAGCCAAGTGGTGCTGGATAGGACAAGTTACATACCCAGTACAGTTTGAAAAGCTTATCCACAGCACACGTCAGGCCATCATTCAGAGGAATGGTTACTTTGTCATTCTTAGCAACAATGATGTACTGCCTGGTTGCACTCTTTAGATCACCGATGCATATCAGCTGGGGTTGGTGTGTTGTGGATGATGCTTCAGGATCACTGCAAAGCGATGCAATACTTGTTCCAGGCTTGGAGATGGGGAAGATAAAGATAGATTTTTAAAGAAGTATTCAGTCAGGTGTTGACAAATGCTTTCCTCAGGTAAATACCATGAGAACTGTACTGAATAATCAAAATCAACCAAGTGCGTTATAGCTGATTTAAGGCTGCAACGACTGGCACCAACTGGTGGGAGCAGGTGTGTTAACACCACAAGGGCAGTGTAACAAGCCTCATCTAACAAAGAAAAGCAAGATGTAAAATTATTCAAAATACAGAAATGTTTTATTTAATGAATTATGAGATGTACATCAAAAATGACTTTTTCTTTTGTGAATAGATGAAATCAGAAATGCAGAGGCTTAAGGCACCTCATTTGGCTTATATGTGCAGCTAATAAGGTTACCCAAGGCCACATAATTTAAATTCTCCTTACAACCATCTCCATAGACCTCATTCTCCACCATCAGTAAACATAGACATATTTCAATCCATTTACCAAAGGGTGGCATCTAACAATTTCTTTGAAAAAGAACAACAAAATTTAAAAATATAACCCCTTCTTGTATAGTTTTTCTATTCAGCCTTTAACATCCACTTACTTGTCATCTAAAGACAGTAAACAGAACTATTAATTTGATCATCCTTTTTTTCTTACTTTCTAATAGTAAACGCGAGGGGGGGGGGGGGGGGGGGGATGGAAAAATACCTTCAGTCTTCTCTTCAAAATCCTTCAACAGAGAGGACATTCTTGTTTCCAGGGCAGCTACTGATTTGAGTTTCGGAATGATACTGGCTTCCCATTTTCGTAAAAAAAGGTCCACCTTTCCTCCTGTAAGCTTGCCAAACTCCAAGTCCAGCTAATGGAGAGAAAAAAAGTGTTTAAGTTTAAAATTAAGCATTAAATATATGAAATTAAAAGTACATTCTGCCCATTTGGTAGCTGTATGGCTAAAATCAAACCTTACAGTATCACATTTCTGTTACCCACTTCCACATCAAGCTTACCTACACAGTGAAACATAACAATTTACTTGGAGTGGTATTTGAATACAAGTCTATTATTCCTTAATTTTAGCCATGATTTGGGTCCCATGAGACCCTGAGAAAAAAATTAGGACTTTTTAGCTGATGTTCAACTTTCTAGCAGCCAATTTCTTATTTTGTCTGTCTGCGGTTTGTCCTGTAGAGCTTTTTTGCTGAAAATAGTGCTGCTGAAAGCAGAGTTTCGTTAAAAATTTAGGTGATCTTTCTGTCGTTTTTTCACTTCCACGAGCAGCACCTTCTGCATTGTCATTTGATGTCCCTACTATTAGATAGTCATTTGGTGGCACGACTAAGATTTTGGATCATTTGAAACGTGATGCTCATTGTAATAAAAGCCCAGTGAATAAAGATCCAACTCTGAAATTATAAAACTTTCAAAATATTCACTAGGAGCTCATAAACATACCTCCAAATGTATCCACTCCTGTTACATACTTTGTATGCAATACACAACTGAGTGGAGAAGAAGTACATAAACCATTACCAGGGAACCAAGCAACTTACCAGACTTGGCATGTCCAAAAACCGTGGGTACTCTCTGAATATTTCAGCAGCAGTGGGGGAGTCCTTGCTAATCCAGGCTCTGCGACTGGTGTATGTTTCCTCCATGCCTGACATGATAGTTGGAAGGTTCTCAGCTGAGGGCCGCAATCTTTTGATCAGGGTGACCCACTCATCTGTGCTGCTGGTATTCCCATCCTCTTGCCTGAGCTTCTTGTCTTCACCACAGTCATTGGTCACTTTTCGCTTCTTATAACGTCTCTGCCCCTTGTCGAGATTCCGTCTAAGGTTGCGCAGTTTAGTCTCTAGGAATCCACAATGAGAGACTGGATCATAATAATGCTCCTGAGGAAGAAAGGACAGAGGTATATGGGTAACAGCTGAGCAATTTTAACTGAGAAAAAAAGCTCTAATAAATAATGAGATAAAGGTTAAAAGATACACAGTAAGTGGGGAAAAGTGCAAGTATGTAGTGGAATTTACATTATTAAAATGCTAAATTTACTTACAAATCCTTCCCCCTGTCCTGCCACTCGGACACTCAGGGATGGAAAAGTGGTGATGATGCTTTTTGCTACAGTCAACTTCTCTGCACTAAGAGGGTAACTGGAAAATAAAGGTAACATTTTTTTTACTCCTGTGCACTTCAACATTCTTAAAGAAAAACATTCATTGCAAAATTTTAACAAAGTGCAGTAAGGTGCTATACTTACTAACCACACCTCTCCACCAATCCCCAATGCAAGTCTTCACAAGAAGCTTCCTCGATGGCACTGACAGGGTACCTGTAGTGTCATACTCCTTAAGAATCTGTGGGGCTTTCCTCTTGAGTAGTGACTTCAGGGGTTGACTTTGTTCTTCTGTGGTAATGGTAGACTGTGTAAAGGCAACACCAGACACTTTACCTCTCTGCAATAATCCTCAAAGTCATGACAGCAAATTTCCACAGAGCATAGAAGTATGAGTTTACTCAAAAAGCTGCAGCAGAAGAAGGCGGTTTCTTAATTACCATGATTATAACGCAATGACTAAAAGAAATTCTGAATAATAATTAAATTGATTTTATCTTCTAGTTGCTACTTGGTGAATAAATCTGATCCTGACTAATAGTTAATAACTGTTAAAACACATTTTATGACTTAGGAAACTGAAGAAATGTAAAGTGTACCTGATTTTGTCTAATCTCCCTAAGAGAGGTTTCCATCGGTGGCCCTCTGGCTGACAGGAAGATATGGAATCTATCAAAGTCCTTAACGTCTACCTCATTGTCAACATCAATATATTCCATGAAATCAGTGTTATACTTTAGCAACCTATCAAGCACACAGCCCATGTGCTGAGCTTGGCTTTGACCTGTGATGTCTTTGGCACTGCTGACATGAAGAATTCTTTTACAAATCTCTTTCTCATCTATAAAAGTGGTTACAAGGACTTTGACAGATTCTAAGTTGTCATATGCGTGCTGAAAAAAAGAAACACATGGCTAAATAAGTAAGATAATTTGCATGGTCAAGTTGCTGTTGTTGTTGTTGTTTTTTTTAAATAACACTGGCTATTACTTCCTCATAAGGTCTGCATAAAAAATAAACTATATCAGAGCATGTTTCCAACAAAAAGCCTTAAAAAAGAAAGACTTCAGTTTATCATACTAAATGCAAAAACTGCTTTAACTGCTTAAAAAATAATTATCTCTGTCAATGTGAGGTATATTTCATGTTAACCAGTGATAAGTAATTATAACAAATATTTATCACAACACTACTAAATGTAGTCTATTAAGTGTGATAACAGAAGACAGAGGGGCGACATCAAACTAAAGTTACTCAATCTTAAATTCCTATTCTGTGCTAGCAAACGAATGGTCGCGGTGATAACTACATTTGCTATATTCAGAGCTAACAATATTGTCATTTTACACAACACTGCAAATGTTAGGTGCTGACTCTGGCGTTGCTCATAGACACCAATGCCTGTCGGAGCCGCTAGCCAACTACCACACTGGTTCTAAGAGCAATTTCTGACTACTCTAATACATAAATAAAGTAAATAGATAAATACATGAGTAAAGTAATACATAAAATTACTACCAAAAACACATTAACTCTAATGAAGTATGGCACTAAAGCCAAGAACTAGTACTAAAATTAAGAGTAGGATATGTTAGCAAGACTGTTACATTAAGGTTAGCTAGGTATAGTTAAGCAGTAATTAACAGCGCTTAAACTCAAAACTCCTATATTTCATATAAATTCAAAGTTTCACATTCTTCCAGAAACCCGACATATTTTCAGTACATTAAGATAAACTGGTAAATTATACTTACTGTAAGGTCTGACAACATAGTAGGCAACGTAACCTCCATCTTTGTCTCTTTTGTCTCAGTGGCGCGAAAAGATAGCGCCCCCTTCCAGCCGCTGGTATGGCATGTTGCTGGGCAGAATTTGTTTCAATTTTCAGCATGTGGATTCTTACTCATTTAATTTCCTACTTTTACTTCAATTGTATTGCCCTAGTTCACATTTTACTGTCAAAATTAAGCCTGTTCTGTGTGGATACTTATGGTTATAGTATAGCCATGGCCATCAATTGGTATGCCATACATATTGAGAAATAAAAAAAAAAATTATCTTCTTTCAGAATTTTAGTACACCATACACACCTTGCTCCACATTACATTATAAAATGTTTTATTGTTTTATTTGTTGAAAGTAATGAGGAAAGGGTTATGGAAAACAAACAATAACTAAACATTTTATTTATTCAGTTAATATTGTTATAATACATTACAATTTATTTCACTAAACACAGGGCTAACATCAAATAACTGAGCTGCTAATTTTAGGTCCTGTTGTTAGATTCTGAAAATAACACACAAAATGTGCTAAACTGTGCAACACATCAAGTGTGTTAAGCTTTTTACACATTTTTTCAATGTTTACACATTTTCTTACACATGTTATGTTAAAATTCACACAAAATGTGTTAATAGTGTAACAACACATTTTTGTGTCATTTTTTAACACATCCTTTCTAAGAGCGTACACACCAACAAAAATCCCTTTTCTAATGAAGACACAAAAGATATTTATGTGTAAAAATAAACCAAAGTTTAAAGCCATCCCAAAGACACTTTAAAGCAATTGTCACACTGATTTTACAGTAGAAACATATACTTGCATGTTCTATAGTTAAAGATTACTTGTAATGTCCTAACTCATTTCAGATGCAAAGGTTAGGTGATCATAGCCTGCACACAGAGATACAAATGATTCTGACTCATTTCAAAGGGATTCTTTTCCTTACTTTGCACTTCTACACCCAAATCTAAGGGTCCTCCTACCTACCAAAACCCACTTTAATACCTGTAAAATCTAACATGGACAATGGACATTTCTGAAGCAATATCAGTGAAATATTAGTGAACAGTTTCTAAGAAATACCACAGTATTGTGGAATGTATAAGGGCCTATGTAATGGAGTGGTAGAGCAAGAATAGATCAGAAATCCAGTTAGGATGGTCACAATGCATAAACAGAAATGCTAGATTTAGGCAAGCAGCTAAAGGATGAGTCAGTGATTATAAAGCATGAATGAAACAACTGATGCTAATCAGCTAATGTAAGTGCAACTTCACTACTAACGCTATGCCTCATTTAGTATGAATGTAAATGGATACTACTAGATGCTGATTTAATATATGATTGCAAAACTATTGTTTCATTAAGGCAAGAGGTTGTTAAGTCATTTGTGTCTAGGTTTAATCACAGTTCATGTTGATTAATGGTAATATTTGTAGAAAGCTAAAGGCTGCATAGAAGATGGAAGACATAGAAGATAGCATAGAAGTTGCACCACAAAAACCTATCCTGAAAAAGCAAATCAGCAAAATTTTGCCATTTTTAAGTAGGTAACCAGTATGAGTAGCTGCTGATTGGAGATCTTTCCTACTTCCAGTTAACTGTGAATACTGATCAGCCCAAATTACAGAACACAACAGCAAGATAACTGCAACAACTGCAACAAGATGACTACTGCAAACAGATTTTTAGCTAGATATTATATGTTCGTATACAATCTGTTGAATATGTTTTGAATATTTTATGTGTCCATCCTATGGTAACAGCCATATTTAAATCCTTAAATATAAAATATTACTTTAAGGATTTAAAGAAGTAAACAGAAAAAAAGGAAGAAGACAGAATTGTTCTTAAACATAATTCATAGTTTTAAATTTCTTTTACTTTTCTCATTTTTACCTTTTTGGGTTTTTTTTTATTCATTTATAGGATTTTAATGTATTTGTCTGGTTTTTTTGCTCTGGATGAAAGATGCTATACAAGTAAACTTGCTTTGCCTTGCCTTACTAATGAAATGATTAATATTTATTATCTTTACAATTTGATATTTGTCTGCCACTATAAACAAATATTACATAAGTGTTTTTTTAATCTTTAACCAAAAATAATTTGCTTAACTTGCTGGCTAGGTCAGACCAAGACCAAAGGAAGACAGATACCTTAAAAAAGTCACTTCCTCTCTGATTTACTAGTCTTTTGTTTGGATACCTGGCTTTGTAATGGGTAGTGACATGGTCTATGCTAAAAGTTCCCACTGGGGTAGTTTAAAGGGTGTGTCAAAAACTGCGCATGCACTGTGAAGCAAGACTATCACCATGCCATCTGTAGTCTCTCCACAGGAACATAACTAGCACCATTTACTGCACATATGATTACTTGTTGGCTTTTTTTTTCTTTTACAAGCCATCTGCTCAGGAGAGGTGAGAAAGGAGTTGTGAAATAAAATTCTGTAGCATATTGCTTCGGTGCTCCATTATTAACACATCACTTTATTTCAATTTTGTGATTTAAACCTATTAATTGTAGCACTATATGTTACCCATGAACATGTGGAAATTGTTTATAGTCAACACATTTAGTGACATTGCTGGGGGAAAAAAACTATATTAAATGACTTACAAAAGTAATATAAAAATGCACCTGCGTAATGGAACACAAACTGAGCAAAAGTGAACTTCTAGATGAGAAGCTACAGGTAACAGGTTGCAAATGTCCAGTCTTCTGCGAGGTAACCAAGTTTCACTTTTACTATGTCCTGGTGTAAAAAGTATTTGGTTGACTTCTGCAGTCAGAAATAATTTTTCACTGTCTCCACAGTTTTTTGACCCATTGTGCATGTACAGTACTGTTACAGCCAGTAGCTAAAACTGTTAACATATCAACAAAAATGTTATAATAATGAGAACGTTACTGTGAAACACAATATGATGCATGAAAAAATAGTTTTTGTCCAGGAAGCTTTTTTCAGTAGAAGCTAAAACTGTCGAAAAGATGCCAGACTGGCACAGACAAAATATTAACAATCTGTGCATCAGATGTTCAGGAACCAGGATATCATGATGAGAAATGGGTTACTGGAACAAGACGGCATAAGATAGGACAGATAGGAGAATAAATGAGTGGTTGCAGCAGAATCCAGAAACTACATCTGGGATCTCTATCCAGAAGAGTGCAGTCCTGGGAACATCTAGAATATTGTGCACGATCCGTTATGGTGTTCCATCTATGCCCTCCATGCTAGCATCTTGCACCCTGCTGTTATGTGCTGGATTTTTTAAGAGGATCTTCACACAGCCTGTACCTGGGTTCTTGCCTGGTGTGGTAGACATCAGCCTCTATGGATCTTGTGCTTAGTTAAAGATTGTTCCTGTGCTACCATGATTAATGCCTCTGTGCTATATTTCAGTCCAGCTTTGTCCGGCCACTAGTAGGATTTCTGGATGTCAGCCACTTCCTCTGTCTGCTGTTGGTACATACTGTGCAGGGGCGTCCATGATGGTTCTTTCTCTTGTTCCTCTTTCTTGAGTTTCTGCTGCCTGAGGTATTCAATGATCACACAGTTGGCTGTGGTCATCTTCCTGATGTATTCGCGGATATTCATTGTCTCATCCTGGTCCTGACACTCACTAGTCCCCGGTCTTCTTCCTTGAGCTTAACTTACAGTCTAAGGGCAATGGACTTGAGGTGAAACCCTCCAAGCATCGTCAGGAGCTTCCTCATCTTGATGTCAGTGGCTTCTATCTCCGCCTTGGGCCAGATTAGTATCCCAGCAGGGTACCTGATCAGGCAGGGGCGTACATGTTGATAGCCCGGATCTTGTTCTTACCGTTCAGCTGAATTCTCAGGACTTGACTGACCCTCTGCAGGTACTTGTAATTGTCCTCAGTGTCTGCAATGTTACCTTCTGGTAGTGCGATCCCCTCAATTTTGAAAACCTTCCCTCTCTTCGTTACCATCCCTCTACATTTCTCCAATCCGAATGCTATTCCAATGTCCTTACTGTAGATCCTGGTGGTGTGGATCAGTAAATCGATGTCTCACATTGTTCCCCTGCCACTGAGAGTACACCTTGGACGTTTCTGTGGAGAACAGCTGGTTTATTCTCCTGCCTTCTATTTCTCTGGTATACCTCTTTAAGTCACTGACCAAGGCTGTGAGTCTTTGCTTGGCAGTTT